ATTTCGTTTCTCTAACCTGGTTTTCCTGGTTGTCTTGAATTTCTGCTACATAGAAGTAGACATAATATCGGGAATCTGGCTCCTTAGTCTCCCAACTGAACTGCAAGGAATCGCTACCAGTTTCTGGTATAATGGCAGTCTGCATGACCGCAGATGGTGGTTGGAAAATGTCGCGAGTGTCGATAGTGTGTGAGTTATGTATTGGTGTCCAGTTGTCGCTGTTGTAGGGCGACCATATGCGGTCATAAATGTCATCTCGGTACCTGCATCATGAAAATGAGTATAAATTTATTAAAGAGAATAAACTAAATAAAGAAAAGCAGCACTTAATCAGGGGGTGTTGAGTCGTAACGCTTCATAAGGAACGACTGAAACATAAAAGGTAACAAGTTAAAAGACAAGTTAAAAGCTTCAAATTATTAAATCCTTGTGGCTGATATAAAACGTTTCACCTGATCGTTTGATTGGTAATTGAACCCACATCCCACCTCCTATAGAGCAGTAGTGGTCCTGATTGAGTTTGATAAGTTGAATTACTCAAAGGCCTTAATTCCAACACTGATATGAAAGGTGTTCCAGAGCCTGTGTTTTCAAGACAAACATACACATTCTTTCTCTGGGGAATATACACGATCTCCTTGGTAACAATGGTAGATGCATCTGCCAATTCCACCGAATCCCACTCATCAGCTCCAAGAATGAGATTAAAATTAGGTACTTTATCTTTGCCATCATAATTTCCATACATGAATCTTGCTCTAATCAAAAACTTAATTTCGCCAAGAGCAGTTTTCAAGGTGTAACAATTTTTTTTGCCCTCTGGGAAGCTTCTCACATTCAAGAACTGTTGTTCAAGGGTAATACTCTTGTATTCAGATGAGATATTATTAGCAACACCAGTCTCTATGAAGGTTGCATCTGAAGTGTAATTTAAGCCTGTCACCTTGTCGGTATAGCCAAAATTTTCTGGTAACCCACAATCGATGCTAATAAAGCCTGGAATATATGCGGATATATACACAAAGAGAAAACAAATCTAATTACATGGTTGGCAAAATAACAATATAACTAAACTTCATACTTAAAAAAGGGGTGGAGTTACTAAACCTGATTGACTCTGGGCGTGAACCAGGACGACTCTGAGAGCAGCTATATATATGCATGCACAGACGATCAACTTCTTTAACATCTCCATTGTCAATTCGGTTTCTTCCTGTCTATTGCAGTAATTTGTGATGCTATACGAAAGACCATAACGATGAACAATATATAATAGCAATATCAGTCAATTTTTCTACTAACTAGTCAACTCATTATATAATTCTACTTAAATTAAATTTTAGTACCGTGTGGAATTTCCAGGGGCACTTGCAGTATTTAAAAATTCAATTGTAATAGTTTGTAATTTATATAAAAGGACAATTAGGACAAGGACATTAGCCAATAAGAAGGGAAAGTAATCGCCAACCTGATCCCTGAGAAAGTACTCTTGAAAACGGCCTCTATGGTAGCGGTTGATTCATTGACTCTGGCTTTCAGCTGGTCTTCCTTGGTTACAATTTAGAAAATATGAAGGATTCTCTAAGGATATGTCTTAAATATGGCTAATAATAGGAGTTGGACAATACTAATTAAATATCATAAATTAAATATATCAAGTTAATTAATTTTCCACAAGTTAAATGAATTTGTCTCCGGAAAAATAACTGGTCCTAAAGCTGAAAGGCATGACAATGGCCGACTGATGTGAAATACATGCAAAAACAGAATTTTGACGCTCAAGTCAATGAGAAAAAGCTAAAAATTCTGCTTTCCGAATAATGTGGTGGGTTTTGTTTTTTCTCTTGTTAATTGATTCTACACGCAACTATTATAACATATTTGATATTACTTAATTATACTCAGGCTCTCCATCACAAATTTCTCAACGAATAGATATTTTCTAGTGTGAAGCTCTTTGACATTCAAAAGTTTGTTTTAGGTTCTCCTCAAGTATCAATCATCTAAATTCCATCTATGTATAACAGTGCAAACTAAAATCTGTAAGTTAGCCCTAGCACTTAAATCAATAAATGAAACTCAAACAAGAGTAATTTATGAGATGATTATACAAGCATTTTTTGTTCCTCGGATTCGGTTTTAGATTTCACTTTTCTTAAAAACGTCTTATTAATTTAAAATAACCCAAAACTCATAAGTAAAGATGTGATAAGTGTAACAATTTCTGGACCCTTCAAGGAAGCTTAAGGTTGTAGAATTGTTGTTCCATGGTATCATTTTTGTATTCCGGTAACACACTATATGTTACACCAGTCTCAATGAAGGTTGCACTGGAAACATAATTGCTGCCTGTTTCAAATCTGTATAGGGTGAATATTCCGGGATTCCACAATCAATGCTGATAAAACCTGAGAGGCATAAAGACACAAAAATTAACACAGAAGTATAGTTAGAGGATACACACAATAAGAGAAATTGTACAAATGAATGAACAGATGATCAAATTCTTTAAAATCCCCACTGCCAATTCGGTTCGGCGAATCTACAGTTTTCACCCGTGGTTACATAAATTGTAACTTCCCACCCAATTTTGAACTTTGATAGATTAAATTTTCCTTTGATCAGGTTTGACTAGTCAAATACTTTTTTAGCACTTATTTTAATAATGAGTAAATTAATAAATTACTTTTTAACCCTCAAATTAATAGAACTAGTAAAATAAATCAACTTCTTTTCAAATTTATTTCAATAATATCTTCTTCTTCTTCACAGTGGCCAGATCTCGACAGCCAAATTTGGTCGTCGGGATCTTCTTCTTCTTCTTCTTCTTCTTCTTCTTCTTCTCTCTCTCTCTCTCTCTCCCCACCTTTTTCTCTTGCTTTCTCCTTCCCTCTTCTTCGTAGCGACTAGATCTCAGCAGCTAGATTTGGCCATTGCCACCTCTTTGTCCGCCTCTTTCTCTCCTCTTTTTTCTCGCCTTCTTTCTCCTTATCTCTTCTTACCTCTTTCTCTCTTCTCTTTTCTCTTTCTCTTTCTCCTTTCCTCTTCTCTATGGCTGCCAGATCTGAACTTGCTGGTGGTGGTGGTGGTGATGGTGATGGGGTTGGAGCCAAGAAGAAGGGTTGGGTTGTGAGAAAATTTTGAGATGTGGAGGGTTATTTTGAAATTTTACTGATTTGGGGGATTGAGAGAAATTAGCGTTAACTATTTTAGGATAGAAAGACCTAAATACCATTTTAAATGCTAAAGTTAATGTTTGAAATTTAAAATTAGGTGGGAATTTGCAATTTATGAAACCACGGGTGGGAACTGTGGATTCGCCAAACTTTGGGTGGGTAAATGTCATTGCACTTGCGGAATTCTCGAACCAACTGTATTTTTTTGTAATTAAAACAGATGATTGAGCAGTGTTGAAAAAGGCTATAAGAAGACTACTCTTGAGAAAGGCTTATATGGCCAGTGTTGATTCATAGACTTTCTCTTCCTTGGTTGAAAATATGAATCATTGTAGTAATTCTAGAAAAAAATAAATAAATAAAAAATTTCTCGCACAAACTAACTTAACATTAACACTTCTTCGTAATTTTAACATCATCTTTTTTCATGTTCTAATATATTTTTAATTATGATTTTTACTTATCTAATCATACTTTACCATATCTTTTCTATAATACTGTTTTTAGTCTTAATCAATTTCTAATTTTAAAAACTTTATCCTATTATTTATGTTTTAGATACTACTGAATATATTCTAATTAAGTATGAAGATTAATAAGAAAATTTATTTATTCAATAGCTTTTTGTCAATCAACTAATATCATGAAGAGTGATTTTTTAGTACGGATTTTAGAACTTCAATTTCTACAAATTAATTTAATTAATCATTTTAGTCAACAAAGGATGTGTATGCATGTGTATCATATAATAGTTGCCGACACCAAGTCAGTACTATCAATATCACCAAATTTATGAAGTTAATTAATTTTCTACAACCGCTTGTTCTTGGAAGAAATTGTCTCCCCAGGAATTGCCTCGTAATGAAGATGAAAGGGACGAGATGGGCCAGAGTCATGTGATACACATAAAAGCGCCTAAATTTTCTGCTTTTCGAGAGATGTGACGCTAGCCAGAATTTTCTGGCCACAATCTATGCTAATACTACTAAATCCCGCTGGTAGATATTAGGATAAACAAAGAGAAAATCTGATTACTAATAAGTGAATGACAATTTGATTAAAATTTACTTGATTCTGGGCGTGAACCAGGACTTTATAGGAGTTGTAAAAATATATGCAAAGCACAGATGGTCGACTTCTTTAGCATCTCCACTGCCAATTCGGTTTCTTTTTGTGTATAGTACAATTTACAAAGGGGAATAATATGTTATAGGAATATTAGTCAATTTTTCCAGTTAGTAGTCTGAGCAAGTGGCTACTGGAAATCAGAATTGTTGAAACCATAGCCAAGACACACAATAATAAAAGTAGAAAAATAACAGAGGACAACCGGTTTACCCTGGTTCGTTCCAATAAATGAATTTTGTCAAGCATTCAAATATAGTATTTTATTGAGTTTCAGAAATTTGTAGAATACAATAATAAAAAGTATGACTTTTCCCTTTTTTTTTTTTTTAAGGTAAACCTGGTAATTACCTCTCCCGCAACTGTTAAAGAGCTTGTCATCTGGCCACAAAAAGAAAGGTGGTTTTTCAATAATACAAATAATCTCATTTGGGCTTACCTGATCTAATCCAAACGAGGCCCAAATATTTGTAAATTAATTCTAAACCCAATTATTGAATGGGTTTACCATCAATGCCTTCATATGAACCATATCCGACAATAATAATATTATTCCATTTTATTAAATTTTAGTTCGTACGTGGAATTTTCAGGTGGCACTTGCAGAATTTATAAATTCGATTGTATTATACTGATATAAAAATGTAAGCGTACTGGAGACAAGGACATTAGCCTATTAGACGAAAAGTCAATCGCTAAACTGATCCCCGGGAATTATCTTGAAGAACACTTCTATGATAACCTTAATAATTTGATACTCCAGTTACACAGAAGCCCAAAAATGTGATAAATTGCAATGGCATATATGATATACATGAGTATGAGTTAAGGAAGCATTCATTCTTTGGATTAGATCAGATGAATGCTTAGGTGTGTGTCTGCCTTTACTTTGCACTGATACTAGATAAGTAAATTACCACTAAGTTTATCTAGCATCCATCACGGAGATTGTTACATTATTAATGTAACAATCTTCAACGCTTTTTCCAGGATTTTCTGGCTCTTCAATAGTATCATTGGTATAAAACGTTGGTTGTTTTGGTGCAGGTAGAAGCATAGTTTCATTTGTGAGCATGGATATGACTTCTGGCATTTTGGGTCTGTCAATTGCTTGGTCTTGTATGCACAAGAGACCCACATGAAGGCATCTCAGTACTTCATCAGAAGAGCAAGACTCATCCATTGTTCGATCTCTCAGCTCGTAGCCTTTACCTTCATTCCACAGTTGCCATGCTTGAAACACAAGTGATCGAGGTTAGATCTTATACCTTTATGAAAATTACATAATTTTTGGAGAACTTACATATCCTACAAGATTGAGTGCATGCTCTGTGTGATAGCAACCACTGTTCTTCTTGCCACTCACAATCTCTAATACTAAAACTCCAAAGCTATATACATCTGTTTTTATTGAGACAATACCATTTATGGCATACTCCAGGGACATATAGCCACTGTAAAAAGTAAACATCAGTATTAGTTACAGAAAAAAGGAACACACTCGATGTTTTTTTGTTGTAAATTTACCATATACTTACTATGTCCCAACAATTCTATTTGTATTTGCTATAGATTCATTCACCCCAAAGATTCTAGCCATACCAAAATCAGATATTTTTGGATTCATTTGATCATCTAGTAAAATGTTGCTGGCTTTCAAGTCTCTGTGAATCACTCTTAATCTTGAGTATTTATGTAGATAAATAAGTCCTTGAGCAATTCCTTCAATTATGTCGAACCGTTTCTTCCAGTTTAATAGTGTCTTTTTGTGAGAATCTATCACAAAACAACAAATAAAAAATGAGTAGATTAGTGTTTAGTGAGAAACTCAAGTTGAAAAATCTTGATTTCTGGAGAAAGCTACCGAAAATGAAGAAGTCCAAGCTTTTGTTAGGCATGTACTCATAGACTAAAATCCTTTCTTCTTCCTGAAGAGAACATCCTAAAAGTCTAACAAGATTAGTATGCTGGAGTTTTGCAATGAGCTTAGCCTCATTCTGAAACTCTTCTATTCCTTGGTTAAAATTTCTTGAGAGCCTCTTTACTGCTATTTCTTGCCCACCAGGTAATATTCCCTGAAATGAAAACTCTATGAAAATTGCTTCTTACGCAACTTCTATCAATAAAGATCATAAGCACAGTTTTACCTTATAAACTACACCAAAACCACCCTTTCCCAGCACATTTGTAGTTGAGAAATTGTTTGTAGCAGCAGCAATGGTTTGAAAATTAAATATATTTAGTTCATCCTTCATGTTCTGATTATTTTCTTGTGTTGTTACATTGCTACATGTTGTGAGAGGTTGAATGTCGTCTCCAAGCTCATGTAATAGCTTCTTTTGGTTGTTGTTAGGGCCAAAAATTGTCTTGGGCTTGACGAGGTCCAATAACGAAATAAACATGTCACGGCCCAAGGCCTCAACCCAATCTCGATTGGGCCTATGCTTAAAATCACCTTGCGACCTACCTATTCTATGAGTTGGGCTATCTTATAAGTTAAGCTAAACTGGGTTTCAGCCCATTAGCCTGCAACAGTCTATAAATAGGAATCAGAATCCCATTCTATTTCCTCTTCTACTAAGATTTCAAATCTTACTCAAACTATTAAACTTGATCTGATAAGGTCAAGAAATCACATCTCTTTCATGATAGGGATTATCTCCCAAAATAGGACTTAGTGTCCTACCAAGATTCCAACTCTTATTTAAACTATTAAACTTAATCTAATAAGGTCAAGAAATCATATTTCTTTCTTGATAGGGATTATCTCCCAAAAAAGAGGACTCAATGTCCTACTAGGATTCTAACCCCTTGGGTTCACTATAAAAATGAGGGCAATCTCCCACAGTTGGGGGACACTACTCAAAACCATCTATTTGCTCCTAAGTTCTTGCTCCCAAGAACCCGACGCCTCCGCCGTAGTCCTAGCCTCCGACAAGACTCCTGGTCTAGCGGATTGTCAATGGCCTCAATCTCACGGGATCAAACCTTATTTTCATGACGGTAGATTTTTTGCATCTACAGTTGCTTATGCTCTCCACTAAATCAGATACATAGAAAGACATTCTAATTACCATAATTGATGATTGATAATCATATTTATTTGTTCAAGCTAGCTGGTTTCACCTTTTGCCTTGCATGTTCTCCATATCGAATAGCATAAGTAGCAGAACAGGGGAACCAATAGAGCTGCTCCTACTATAATTAATGATAACCACCACTTGTCCTCTGCATTGAAAATTTTTCATTACTTCATTTGATTTACCATAGCAAAGAGTACATTTAAGGATTCAGATTTGATTAGAAAAAATAAAGAAAAGAAAATCAAGATACAGATGCGAAAAGTATCGACGAAATGATATTTTCTAAGTTTCATCTTTAATAAAAAAAATAAAAAAAATAAAGGTGTTTGTACCTCTGTTTCTTCTTTTAAAGCTCCACAAAATAGCCATTACAATTGAGAAGGCAGAAGTTGAAACAATTAAAATCTCTTTTCTCTGTGCAAGAAGCTTCAGAACAAAGATTTGGATTTCCGTCTACACTGAATTAAAATCAAAAGGTGATTTTAACAACAATCTAGGGCTCCAGATCATGCGAATCCGATGCTCTTACACATAATTGCAATTTTTTTTTTTTGGCATTTAATTAATAGATCATCTCGGCTGGTTTCAGAACAATAAAATGGAGGCTTACTCTGTTTTTTGGGCCATCTGCAGGCCCATGCCCAAAGTGAACATCCCAAGGATTGACCAGGTTTTTATTTACTTTTTTTATATTTTTAAAACTTTTAGATTTATTATAATACAATAATACAAATTAATGATTGTATCTTATAAAATTAAGTAAATTCTTAGCTTAGAAATTAAGAAAAAAATTCAAAAAATAACATAGCAGATAAATAAATAAAGTTAAGAACATTACGTATGTGTAACATTACTCGATAATGACAATTAAATCACTCTATGACTTTTATTAAAATAAAAACAAAAATTCCAAGGGTATTTGTCAAATTTTGGATCCAACCAATTAGATATAGTCCATTTTTCAGTTTATATACCGACATAGATACAAGTTTATATTTGGGTTTCACGCAAATGTCTTTCACCCAAAATACATCACTTAATTCCATAGTTCGTTAACTCGACGAGGTGGGATGTGACAGTATTGGACAAATTTATTGATATGGCATGAGAGTTTTGGACAAAATACCTTAATGATATGGAACCCTTTTGTGATCTTTCAGTAAGTTCAACTGGTACTGAACCTGTGAGCATATTTCCACTTAAGTTTCTGCAAAAATCATACCAGAAATGTGAATTAGTTCTTAGCTTTAATATCAAGAAACATGCCATTTCAGTTTAAATATCCCAAGATATCAACTTACAAGGTCTTCAAGAATGGCAGCTGAGACAGAAACTCGGGCACTGATCCAGTCAAACTATTGTTTGATAAGTCCCTACATAAGAATAGATAATTTTTTGGAGTGCATCAAATTTAACTTCATCTTTAAAAATGTTGACAGCACCGAAGCATAATGAGACTGAGATTATGCTTACAGGTGTTGTATCATTGTAAGATTGGATATGTGAGGAGGTATCTCACCAGTCAGTCCATTTGAAGATAAATTCCTAAATTGATGTCCATTAATTTGATTAACAAAAGAGTCAAAAAATAAATAAATAAATAAAAAGTCACATAGAATATGTTCTTGAATACATGAACTTACAGAGAAATAATTCTTGGAGGATTACTACCATTGAAGCTGCAATCAAGGCCATCCCACAAGTATTCTTGAGGGGCACAGGGATCTCCTTGCCAATCTTTTATCTTATACAATGACTTGATATTCTTGATAGCATCAGCTGATGTTTCCATATGTAAGTATTCAAAAATGTTTATACAGACAGTGAAATGCATATATTTCTAATTCGGAAGAGCTTACCATCTACTTGGTCGGTTTCTGACTGTGCGAAATCTTTCACTAGATAAAATTCGACAGCGTTGAGAATTGGAGGGAGGGTTGAATCTTCAGTTTTAGTGATTAAAATATCACAGTGTCCTCCGATAAAGACTGAAGGAAAGTGAAAAGTGGTCGCGCACGTGTAACATGGAGAAATCGGTTCAGACGAGAAATTTCCATTCAAACCTCCATTCAAAGAAATATTGAATCTTCTTGACTGATTTTCTGAGAGATATTCAATTTCCGCAAAGTGCATGTACACATAAAGCTGGGAAGTCGAATCCGGGGTGCTTAAAGAGAATTGTAAGGGGTCACTTGCAATTTTTGGTGTACCAGCACTCTCTAACACAATTTGTGGAGGCTTATAATCAGTATTACTATCAACATCATAGATATAAACAACAGATAATTGTTTCCAGTCAGGATTGTTATATGCCATCCATACCCGATCGAAAACATCATCAGGATACCTGCAGGAATATTTTCTTTCTATTTAAGCATAGAGTGAATAGATCTCAAAATTGTTAACCAAAATATTGTGACGTAAATGGCTCATCACCTGATTGTTCGATTTGTAGTTGGTTGAACGTTCATCCTTTTATACAACATAAGCGATCCGGATTGAGTTACGTAAGTGGTACTTCTCAGGGGCCTGAATTCTAAAGATGAAATAAATGGTGTCCCGGAACCTGTATTTACCAGACAGACGTCAATATAATTCGATGGCGAAACATGTATGATCTCCTTAAATATGGAGGTAGAAACATCGCCAAGAACCACAGAATCCCACAGATTAACTCCCAGGTACAAATCAAATGACTTCGGTGGTGTAACTTTTTCATCATAATTTCCATAAAAGAAGTACGCTCTCATCAAATATCTACCGTGTTCCGTAACTTTTACATGGTAACAGTTTTTGGAACCTTCAGGAAAGCTTCTGAGAGTCCATAACGGTTTTTCAAGACTATCTGATTGATACGATAGTGCTACACTGCTGCTTATCCCAGTTTCTACGAAGCTTGCATCGGAAACGTAATAAAGGCCAGTTTGTGAATCAGTGTAGTTTGAGTTTGCTCCGCAATCTATGCTGATGAATCCTGGAAAGAAGAGAAAAATTATTATCTATTTCTCACTTACATTTTCTGTGATAATCAAATATTACAAAAGATTCGGAAATGCAATACCTGGTTCCTGAGCATGGACCAGCAGAAGTATAAGAGCACAAGCAGCTAGAAATGCTCTGAATAGTAACATCTCCATTTCCAATTTCAGTTTCTTCTTCTGTGTCTCATACAGTTCAAAATGCTCTGAATACTATATTATAGGATGCTCAATTAATTTTTCTATTAAGTACTCTAAGCATGCTGTTAGTTTTATGAGTGGAATTTTCAGGAGGGGGCACTTGAGGAATTTTCAAATCCAACTGTAAGACAAGAACATCAACCAATACGAAGAGGAAGCAATTAATTAATCGCAACTCATCCCTGACCCTGAGAAAGTACTCTTGACTTGAGAAAGACTTTTTTGGCAAGAATTGATTCATTGACTTTGTCTTCTTTTAACACCTTGATCCATTGCCAATTTGTTTTCATCCTGTGTATTGAACAATTTATAACACTATGGAACAGACGATATTGATGAATAATATAATATAGGAATATTAGTCAGTTTTTCGTGTAAGCATATTGCTATACTGGAAATAGTCATATATAGTATTATTCATTGTAACTAAATTTTAGTACCATCTGAAATTAATTTTCATGGGGCATTTGCAGAATATATAAATTCAATTGTATTATCTTGTGATATAAAAATTAAAAATGTGAAAAGGTAGGAGACAACAGACAAGGACATTAGCCTATCAATGAGAAGGAAAATTAATGGCCAACCGGGCACCGGCATGGTCCCTGGGCATTAAGTATCTAGGGAAAGACTTCTATGGTAAGGGTTGATTCATTGACTTTAGCTATGACATTAAATATATCGGGAAAAGACTTCTATCGTAAGGGTGATTTACTTAGACTTGCTCATCCTTTGTCAGGATTTTCTAAATATGACCAATTCTCTGATGTTAAAGGAGGTGATGTATGATAAGAGCTTGAAAGTATACATTTTATTAGTGATTTAATTGAATTATTTATGAAAAAAAGTGTTTAATTGTTGGAATTTGAATTTATTATTTCATAAATACTTTTTACAGGATCACGGGTGTATTTTGAGTATTTTCAGGTTCAAACCGATCTTTGAAGGAAAAAGAATGATGTCGATGGAATTCATGATGAGTAGGAACAAATGGTTCAAGAATCGGAGTTGAAATGAGGAAGTTGTGGCACGTTGAAGATGAACCAAACGGAGCCTAAGATTTCTTTATTTTAATTAGTTTAATCAAATTCTTGTTGATTTTAATATGAAGACTTATCCATTTACAGATTTACGTGTCTTTAGGTACAAGTCAAAATAATCTCAAGAATGAAGTAAATAAGAATTCTTTATTTTCTAGATGATTTTTTTTTTTTTCGGATTAAAGTGTTATTTAATCAACATAGAGTACTTTGTCGAGAATAATATAACACTTAAAAAAGAGAAAATATTAGTCGGAATTTGAGAATTTCTTTGTTCTAAAAATTACTATCAGGATAGCTTATTCATATCATCCTGATCAAGGCATCACAGGATGTCAAGTGTTGTAGCTCGATAGAAAATCCGGCACTCTTCCTGTCAAACTATTGTTTGATAAGTCCCTGAAATGGTGATTGAAAATATTAAGCTCACTTGGTCTCGTCATCTATGGGATGAAAATTACATTGTTCATGTTACGTTGTGTGATGCTTACAGGATTGTATTGATGTGAGACTTGATATGTAATACGATATATCTCGGCTATTCCACCGATGAAAGTTCTGCTTAGTTATCAATAATTTCATTAAAAGATTGTTGCGCTAGTCAAGGTGAAGAAGGTAGAACTTACAGGGATATGATACTTGGGGCATCATATCATCGTTCGCTGCAATTAAGACCTTGCCACAAGTGAAGTGTGTGCACATGGATCTCCTTGCCAATTTCTTTTCACTCCATATTTTGACTTATATTCATGATGGCATCAACTAATTATTTTTAACATGATAAGAAAGAATATTATATTCATGGTGTGATTGGCTCTACTATCCTCCATTAAGAACAAGAAATAATTCGAAAAGAAAAAACAATCGTAAGGTGAGAAAAACACCATCGTTTGGTTTGTTAGCAGTTGCTGAAACTCTGGCACTCATAAATCTCGGAGGCATTGAGGATGGGCGGTAGCGTCGAATTCCCAATTTTGTTGATTGAAAACTCAATTTTATCTTCGCCTTTGGCTAATACGCCGTAGTAGCCGTCTCCCTCTAAGTATCTAGGAAATTCGGCTCATCCGACCATTTCCTTCCATTAAAAAATATGTCAATTTCTCTAGTTGGTTGGATGGGAGACTTTAACCTCAGCAAGTAGAAGCGACATAATATTGGAAGCTTGCCTCGTAGGCTTGATATTGAACTGCAAGTGGTATCTGCCGGTACGCCGCGTTGCATGACGGTAGACGGTATATCATAATCGGTCTCATAGAAGACTTTGAGCGAGTATTTATGATTTGCAGTTGTAGCAGTTGTAGGGGACCATATGCGATCATAAACGTCATCTTTGTACCTTACATACAGAACAATTTTATTACTTAGTAACTAGTAAGCCAAGATTCATCAGCTTTCCAAAATTGAGGTAGTATAATTGAATGGCTCACCGATTGGTTATTGTGTTGTTGAACCAAAATCCAACCGCTGAAAGAGTAGTAATGATCCGGTGTCAGTGTCATAAGTTGAATTTTTCAGACGCTTAATTCTAATGCTGATATGAAAGGTGTCCAGAGCTGTGTTTTCAAGACCGACAATATATATAGTTCTTCTGGGGAATATGGAGGATCTCCTTGGTGACAATAGTGGATGCATTTGTAAGTTCCCTGAATCCCAGGATCAGCTTCAAGAGGAGATTAAACCTTGTACTTTACCTTGGCCATCATAATTTCCTACATGAATCTTGTCTAATTAAAAACTAGTATCGCTACGAGCAAGTTTCAAGGTGTAACAATTTCTTTTTCCGGGGAAGCTTCTCACGCTCATGAATTGTTGTTCAAGGCTGTTTCTGATGTATTCAAATGATATATTATTGCTTAAACGGTCTCTATGAAATTTGCATCTGAAGTGCAATTTAGTCTGTCATTGTCCGTATAGCTAGAATTTTCAGTATCCCACAATCTATGCTATAAAAACCTGGAGATATAAGGATAACAAAGAGAAATCTTAGAATAAACAATAAATTGACTTGATACTTAAATATGGATGGAGGTAGTAAAACCTGATTGACTCTGGGCGTGCATCAGGACTACGAGAGAGCTGTACTTATGAATGCACAGAAGATAACTTCTTAAGATTTCCATAGCCAATTTGATTTCCTCTTGTGTGTCTCATACAATTTATAATGCTATGCAAACGATAATTCTTAGTACTAAGCACGTTGCTATATTATATATATATAAGTCTTTTTGGTCAACAAAATGAAATGATGGGAATTCGTGTTATTCCAGTGTAGCGTGGAATTTCCAGGGGCAATTAGATTTAAATTCAATTGTAATAGTTTGTAATGTATATAAAAGGACAATTAGGACCGTATGGTCAACACTTCTCGTAATATATTTTTAATTATGATTTTATTTATCTAACCATACATCCATATTTCTATATACTGTTTTTAGTCTAATCAATTTTATTTTAAAAACTTTATCCTATTATTTATGTTTTAGACACTACTGAATATAAAATAAATTAATAAGAAAATTTATTTTTAATAGCTTTTGTCAATCAATAATATCATGAAGAGTGATTTTTTAGAGAGATTAAGTACGTTGCTTGTACTATATATATATATATATAGATGTTTTTCAGATAATCCAAATGTATTAAAAAAAGGTAGCATTTTTTAGAGACCTCCAACTTGATCCAGCTGGAACTGGGAGAGTACGATCTTGGAAACGACATTGTGGCACGTGTTGATTAACTATATTTGTGTATCCCTAACAAGAAATATAGTTAGAGATACACACAATAAGAGAAACTGTACATATGAATGAACAGTGATCAACTTCTTTAAAATCCCCACTGCCATTGGTTTCTGCTATGTTCTCATACAATTCAAAAGTGTAATAGTTTCGTATTATTATCAATAATAATATATTTTCATGAGTGGCAATAGTGGAATTTTCAAATCAAATATTTCAGTTGAAACTAATAAAGTTGAGCATGTTGAGAGAGGTATTTTAAACATGGGGTGTATTGGTTCGGGTTTGTGGTACCACAAAATTGGAATGCCATTTTCAGTCAAATTCTTCTTTTATCTTACCCATAGATGTAGGTTAAGAGATCTCCAATGGTGCTCTTTATTTTAAGAACATCTTTCATATAAATAAAGAGTATCTTCATTAATTTTTAAATATAAGAACACAAATTTATCAAATCCAATAGACTCTTTAAATTAATGAGATGCTCTTTATTTTAAGAAAAAGATTACGAGAGAGAGAATAATAAATAAATGATAGGACTGTAGTTATTAATTAAAATTAGGATAAAGAGTGAAATTTGACTTTTAAATGTGGAGAGCCAACTCAATCTCTATTTATATTTAAAGATAAAGAGTATTAGATTTTTTTTTATGGATAACTCTTTATAATAAAGAGTTTGGGTATATAAAAGATCATTTGGGATGATCTAAAGCCGTTTCTATTAGCCAATCATTTTTTTATCTTTGAGACTGGACCTATCACAAAATGGATTGGCAAACAGTTGGGATTCAATAATTTGCAGCAGAAATTGGTTGATGTAGTTTGATTTGTGGAGTTTCAGTTTTTGATTATATGAGTTTAAGATTACTCAGATTTTGAAAAATAATGTGAAGCCAAAACGGGGTCGTTTCATTTAAGTTCAGTGGTGATATTCTAGCCGTTGATCAAGACAATCCAAGGGGGATATTTACGATACAGGGCATATATAAAGAAAGCAACAGTGATGTGAATGGTAACGCGTTTTTGTCAAACGAAATAGGGTTCGTGAGAGAAAAAGAGAGAGCAACTAGGGTTGAGTATTTGCTGGTCTTTCTGGTATAATCTGGGTAGATTTAAGAGGGTTGCGTCCTTCTTGAGGTGGTTCTTGTCCTTGTTTTTGCAATTATTGAGAGATTCTTGAGCGAATAGGCCTAGGTTGAGAGTTGATCTGTTTGGCGATTGTATGGTTGTTTCTTGTAATGTTGATATTTCTTAGTGTTGGAGTACCGTATTTCAGAGCTCAACGTGATGTAGTCTATCAAGATTGGATAGACGAACCAAGTAAATTGTGCCTGTGTTTGGTGTGTGTGGTTCTTTGATCTTGATCTTATTTGTGTTTTTTGTGTTGCAATTAGTTTATAGGCTTGGGTTATAACAATTTTAATCTCAGCTTGTGGTGTTAGTTACGGTGGAGAAAAATAATAATGAGGCGAAATGGTGACTATGCATAAGCCCTTTCTTTGTGCAAGAATATTGGCCCCGTAGACATTTGTGTTTTATTATTAGAAAGTAGAAAAAGAGCTGCTGGATGATCCAGACTAAACCATAGTACCTCGTTAGTGCTTCACCAAAGACTTGATGGAGTAGACCTCAGTGCACGACCAAGACTTGGTGGTTGACAGCTCTCTTTACAATAGTGAATCCCACTTTGAATTTTGTTCCCAGTTTATAACAATCATGATATACGAATCATCTAATTCAAAGGACATCCGCTATTAGAAGAGGAACTTAATCGCCAATACACGATCCCTAGGAGAAAGTGCTCTTGCAATTGAAAAAGACTTCAATGGCAACTGCTGATTCATTGACTTTAGATCTGGGTTCTCTGGTTGAAAATGAGTCATTCAAGTAATCTTCTTATGTGTCTCATACAATTCAAATTGCTATACGGACAAGATGACAGGTGTATTGTTTAATTAAAACAGATGATTGAGCAGGTTGAAAAGGCTATAAGAAGACTACTCTTGAGAAAGGCTTATATGGCAGTGTACACTAAGAATAATAATTAAGTATGAAGATTAATAAAAAATTATTTATTCAATAGTTTTTAATCAACTAATATCATGAAGAGTGATTTTTTAGTAGGGATTTTAGAACTTCAATTTCTACAAATTAATTTAATTAATCATTTTAGTCAACAAAGGTGGTATGCAAAGCACAGATGATCGACTTCTTAACATCTCCACTGCCAATTCGGTTTCTTTTGTGTATAGACATTTATAAAGGGGATAATATGTTATAGGAATATTAGTCAATTTGTCCAGTTAGTAGTCAGCAAGTGGCTAGTGGAAATCTAATTGTTGAACCATAGCCAAAACACACATAATAAAGTAGAAAAATAACAAAGGACAATCGGTTTACTTGGTTTGTTCCAAAAAGGAATTTCGTCAGCATTCAAATAGAGTATTTTATTGAGTTTCAGAAATTGTAGAATACAATAATCAAAGTATGGGTTTTCCATTTTTTTTTTTTTTTTTATGGTAAACCTGTAATTGCCTCTCCGCAACTGTTAAAGGGCTTGTCATCGGCCACAAAAGAGAGGTGGTTTTTCATAATACAAATAATCTCATGGGCTTACCATCTAATCCAAACCAACCCAAATATTTGCAAATTAATTCTAAACCCAATTATTGAATGGTTTACCATCAAGCCTTATATGAACCATATCCGAATAATAATTATTCACTTAAAAATTTGTTCGTATGTGGAATTTTCAGGAGGCACTTGCAGAATTTATAAATTGATTGTATTATAGATATAAAAATGTGAGCATATTGGAGATAAGGACATAGCCTATTAGACGAAAGTCAGTTGCTAACCTGAACCTGGGAATATCTTGAAAAACATTCTGTGATAACTAATAATTTGATACTCCAGTACAAAGAGCCCAAAAATGTGATAAATTGCATGGCATTATGATATACATGAGTATGAGTTAAGGAAACATTCATTCTTTTTATTAGATCAGATGAATGTTAGGCTGTGTGTGCCTGTAATTTGCACTGATACTAGATAAGATTACCACTAAGTTTATCTAGCATCCATCAAGAGATTGTTACATTATTTATGGAACAATCTTAACTATTCCAGGATTTTCTGACTCTTCAGTAGTATCATTGATATAAAACCTGGTTGTTTTGGTGCAGGGAAGCATAGTTTCATTTGTGAGCATGGATATGACTTCTGCATTTTGGGCTTGTCAATTGCCTGGTCTTGTATGCACAAGAGACCCACATGAAGGCATCTCAGTACTTCCAGAAGAGCAAGATTCATCCATTGTTCGATCTTCAGTCAGCCTTTACCTTATCCATAGTTGCCATGCCTGAAACACAAGTGACGAGGTTGATTATACCTTATGAAAATTACATAATTTTTGGAGAACTTCATATCCTACAAGATTGAGTGGATGCTCTGTGTGATAGCAACCATGTTCTTCTTGCCACTCACAATCTCTAATACTAAAACTCCAAAGCTATATACATCTGTTTTTATTGAGACAATACCATTTATGGCATACTCGGAGCATTAGCCACTGTAAAAAGTAAACTTAGTATTAGTTACAAAAAAAGGAACACACTCGATGTTTTTTGTTGTAAATTTACCATATACTTACTATGTCCCAACAATTCTATGTATTTGCTTAGATTATTCACACCAAAGATTCTAGCCATACCAAAATCAGATATTTTGGATCATTTGATCATCTAGTAAATGTTGCTGGCTTTCAAGTCTCTGTGAATCACTCTTAATCTTGAGTATTTATGTAGATAAATAGTCCTTGAGCAATTCCTTCAATTATGTCGAACCGTTTCTCAGTTTAATAGTGTTTTGTGAGAATCTACACAAAACAACAAATAAAAATGAGGAGATTAGTGTTTAGTGAGAAACTCAAGTTGAAAAATCTTGTTTGGAAAAAGTACCGAAAATGAAGAAGTCCAAGCTTTTGTTAGGCATTTACTCATAGACTAAAATCCTTTCTTCTTCCTGAAGAGAACATCCTAAAAGTCTCACAGATTAGTATGCTGGAGTTTTGCAATGAGCTTAGCCTCATCTGAAACTCTTCTATTCCTTGGTTAGAATTTCTTGAGAGCCTTTACTGCTATTTCTTTCCCACCAGGTAAATCCCTGAAATAAAACTCATGAAATTGCTTCTTACGCAACTTCTATCAATAAAGATCATAAGCACGGTTTTACCTTATAAACTGCACCAAACCACCCTTTCCCAGCACATTTGTAGTGAGAAATGTTTGTAGCAGCAGCAATGGTTTGAAAGTTAAATAATTAGTTCATCCTTCATGTTCTGATTATTTTCTTGTGTGTTAAGTTGCTACATGTTGTGAGAGTGGAACGTCGTCCCAAGCTCATGTAATAGCTTCTTTGGTTGCTTATGCTCTCCACTAAATCAGATACATAGAAAGACATTCTAATTACCATAATTGATGATTAATAATCATATTTATTGTTCAAGCTAGCTGGTTTCACCTTTTGCCTTGCATGTTCTCCATATCGAATAGCATAAGTAGCAGAACAGGGGAACCAATAGAGCTGCTCCTACTATAATAAATGATAACCACCACTTGTCTTCTGCATTGAAAATTTTTCATTACTTCATTTGATTTACCATAGCAAAGAGTACATTTAAGGATTCAGATTTGATTAGAAAAACTAAAGAAAAGAAAACCAAGATACAGTACGAAAAGTACACGAAATGATATTCCCTTAGTTATCTTTGAAAAGAAAAAAAAAAAAAAAAAGGTGTTGTACCTCTGTTTCTCTTTTGAAGCTCCACAAAATAGCCATTATAGTTGAGAGGGCAGAAGTTGAAACAATTGCTGCTAGCACTGGAAAATAAAATCTCTTTCTCTGTGCAAGAAGCTTCAGAACAAAGATTTGGATTCCGTCTACACTGAATTAAAATCAAAAGGTATTTTAACAACAATCTAGGGCCCCAGATACATGAATCGATGCTCTTATACATAATTGCAATTTTTATGGCATTTAATAATAGATCATCTCCGCTGGTTTCAGAACAATAAAATGGAGGCTTACTCTGTTTTTTTGGCCATTGCAGGCCCATGCCCAAAGTGAACATCCCAAGGATTGACCAGGTTTTATTTTACTTTTTATATTTTAAAACTTTTAGATTTTTATAATACAATAATACAAATTAATGATTGTATATATAAATTAAGTAAATTCTTAGCTTAGAAATAAGAAAAAAAATTCAAAAATAACATAGCAGATAAATAAATAAAGTAAGAACATTACTATGTGTAACATTACTCGATAATGACAATTAAATCACTCTATGACTTTTATTAAAAAAAACAAAAAATTCCAAGGGTATTTGTCAAATTTTGGATCCAACCAATTAGATATAGTCCATTTTTCAGTTTAATACCGACATAGATACAAGTTTATATTTGGGTTTCACGCAAATGTCTTTCACCCAAAAACATCATTAATCTATAGTTCGTTAACTCGACGAGGTGGGATGTGACAGTATGGACAAATTTATTGATATGGCATGAGAGTTTTGGACAAAATACCTTAATGATATGGAACCCTTTTGTGATCTTTCAGTAAGTTCAACTGGTACTGAACCTGAGCATATTTCCACTTAAGTTTCTGCAAAAATCATACCAGAATGAATTAGTTCTTGCTTTAAATCAAGAAACATGCCATTTCAGTTTAAATATCCCAAGATATCAACTTACAAGGTCTTCAAGAAGGCAGCTGAGACAGAAACTCGGGCATGATCCAGTCAAACTATTGTTGATAAGTCCCTACATAAGAATAGATAATTTTTTGGAGTGCATCAAATTAACTTCATCTTTAAAATGTTGACAGCACCGAAGCATAAGGAGACTAGATTATGCTTACAGGTGTTGTATCATTGTAAGTTGGATATGTGAGGAGTATTCACCAGTCAGTCCATTTGAAGATAAATTCCTAAATTGATGTCCATTAATTTGATTAACAAAAGAGTCAAAAAAAAATAAATAAAAAAAGTCACATAGAATATGTTCTTGAATACATGAACTTACAGAGAAATAATTCTTGGAGGATACTACCATTGAAGCTGCAATCAAGGCCATCCCACAAGTATTCTGAGGGGCACAGGGATCTCCTTGCCAATCTTTTATTTATACAATGACTTGATATTCTTGATAGCATCAGCTGATGTTTCCATATGTAAGTATTCAAAAATGTTTATACAGACAGTGAAATGCATATATTTCTAATTCGGAAGAGCTTACCATCTACTTGGTCGGTTCTGACTGTGCGAAATCTTTCACTAGATAAAATTCGACAGCGTTGAGAATTGGAGGGAGGGTTGAATCTTCATTTAGTGATTAAAATATCACAGTGTCCTCCGATAAAGACTGAGGAAAGTGAAAAGTGGTCGCCGCACGCTGTTTTTTTGGCCATCTGCAGGGCCATGCCCAAAGTGAACATCCCAAGGATTGACGAGGTTTTTATTTACTTTTTTTATATTTTTAAAACTTTTAGATTTATTATAATACAATAATACAAATTAATGATTGTATCTTATAAAATTAAGTAAATTTTCTTAGAAAATTAAGAAAAAAAATTAAAAAAAATAACATAGTAGATAAATAAATAAAGTTAAGAACATTACATATGTGTAACATTAGTCGATAATGACAATTAAATCACTCTATGACTTTTATTAAAAAAAAACATATATATAAAACTTTGTTTCTAGGATTATTAGTGAAAGCAGAAAAATTCCAAGGGTATTTGTGAAATTTTGGATCCAACCAATTAGATATAGTCCACATAGACACAAGTTTATATTTGGGTTTCACGCAAATGCCTTGCACCCAAAATAGATCACTTAATTGTTTATATCAAGATGGGGTTCGAACTAGGTAAAACTAACAGTACAAGGGACAGCACAGATGGAGTGATGTAAATCATAAACTTATAAACTGAATGATTTTCATCTATTAGCTTTTGAGCTTCACACAAGCATTATTTGAAGTGATAATAACCCTTAAGCCTAATACCCATGGCAGGAGGGCAGTTGTGGCAATAGAAAGTAATTTTTAGCCCCTATTAAATTGGTCCATATATCCTGCTTTTAAAATGTATTTATTTTTGACAAATTTAACTTTAATGACATAATGATTTCTATATCCAGTCTTTATTTTATATATTTGTTTTAGTTTTTAACCTTTGATCCTTACATAAATCCTAAATCTAAATTTTCTAAATCATTGAAACATTTTTTTATCATTTACGTAAGGATACAAATATCAAATTTGAAATTGGAAAAAAAAATGGGTATAAACAAAAAAAAAAAAAAAAATTATCAAATTTGAAATTGGGGAAAAGTGGTTTAATTAAAAACCCTAGTTAAATTTGAAATTGGGGGAAAATAACTGCAAATAAAACCCTAATTAAACCTTATTAAGGAGGGCTATTTTCATTATTAACTAGGATTCATAGAAATTTTTTTTTAATATAAAAAAAGTGTATTTAACAATAGGGGATAAAGATCACTTTGATGGGATTAAAAGTCATTTCTCGTGGCAATGACCGTTGAGCCCAATATCCATAACCTTAGTCCAGATTATAAACTTAGCCCAATTATAACATCCATTGGCCCAGCGACAAACTGGATGAATTTTCACTCCGGGGCCCATAGTAGAGTGCTGATTGGAAATTGAGATGTTACTGTTGGTGATAGCAGGAGAGCTCAGGCTCCGTTTGGTTCACATATCTAGTTTTCCCAAAAAAGTTGACTTTATTTCACCTATTTCAAAATAGTTTTCTAAATTATTCAATTTCCTTTAATCTCTCTAAATTTGTTAATTTAACTAAACAACCCCTAATTTTTTTTTAAAAAATTGACAAAAACACCCCAACAACGCAAATTTACCAGATTCCGGCCATCACTGTCGAAAGCTAGCCGGAATCTGGTATAATGGCACACTACCGACTGAATCTGGCTGGTAGTACGTCAGAAAAGGCCAAATCTACGGCCAAAGATTTGGCCGTCAATGGCCAGATCTTTGGCCGTAGACAATCGTCAATAACGGCCAAGATACAGCCGTAATGCGGCCAGATCTGGCCGTCAATGGCCAGATCTAGCTGCAGATTTGGCCATTTTCAGCCAGAAAATGTTATATCGGCGCACAACCAGTAAGATCGAGCCGGTCATACACCGATAAGGCAACTCCGGCCACCCTTCGATGGTGGTGGCCGACTGTCCGTATTTATGAGTGGATTGGGGGTGTTTTTGTTAACTTTGAATATTTTATTATAGGAGTGTTTAGTAAATAAATAAACATAGGGGTATTTATGTTAATTGTCAAAATTCTACATTGTAATACTCACCTAATTTAACTTTTTTCAAAAGATTATTCTAAAAACTACCCAATAATGAACCAAACAGAACCTAAAACTTTGAGAAGTGAAGTGGACCTGAACATTGTGTGAAATACATATTTGCCATCTGCTTAGTATTCAATTTTCAGATTTCAGCAGAATATTTGAAGTTGTTTAACTCTGAGATGATTGATTATTTAGTCTCCCAAAAGGTTATAACTAATTCTGACTAGTTTCCAATAATTATCAGCTTAAAGTTTCTAATTTCCAACACTACAGACTCCAATTAATCTTACATTGATGATGAAATGATGATTTCTTGACATACTTGCATAGGATCCATAGTATATTTGCTGTTATAATACAATTAAGGATTTGTACATTAACTGCAATAGAAGGTCTAATCGGGCCACACTATACATAAACAGTACTAAAGCAAGACATATATTGAGAAAGCAGTGCTACCTTGTTATGAGATATGATTCAACATGGTGATCTGAATTGTTCAATTCAATAGAATCTTTTGATTCAATGTCATTGTCCAACTTTTTATGAGCTATCTCCATTGCCAAACACTCATTCAATTTGATTATTACTTTATTCTTGGTTGGCCTTTTGGTGGCAATTGGAGATATACAAGCCTTTGCTATTTCTATAGCTTTGCGGACAGAGTTAATGTTGAAGTCACCTTATAGTCTTGGATCAACTATGTTTTTAATATCTTCCTTTGCAAGCACGAAACTCACCTATTAACTGATGTGAGTTCTCTCTTGGGATCTCTTAATCACAAGTTTGCATGTCATTAACTCTAAGAGAACCACTCTAAAGCTATACACATCACTTTTTTCAATCAACCTGTCTGATATATAATGCCTGCAGAGCAAGCATACATGAATTCATTTTGTGCTAATTAATAAATTAAGATTTAAGAACAAAAATTTCTTTCATGCCAATTAACACTTATCCAATAACAATGTACTTACTCAAGGTCAAGGTAGCTAGGGGTTCCAGCAACTATGGTTGAGACATTAGTTCCACCTTCAATTGGAAATATTCTGGAAAGGCCAAAATCAGATAATTTGGCTTGGAAATTTTCATTCAACAAAATATTTGTGGATTTAACATCTCTATGGACTATGGGTGGCTTACAAGCACAATGCAAATACTCCAATCCTAGATTTTGAGTTCGGTGCATATTAGTTTATTTAGTTACAAACTTAATTATTGAATTAACTGAGGACCACCACAATTATTCTATTACTTAACTGAGCTCAACATTTATTCTGAAAAACCTTTAGGTTTATTGTTAGTGCAATTAGACTTAGAAGTTTAAACAAGTAATATTACAAACCCAAATGTTATAATATCGTGTTATGCCTAAAAAATTAGGGCTAATGTAAGCCTACATCAGCTAGCTCCAATCAGAGTTCAGGAAAGTTTTGCATCATCCAGGAGCTACCACGTCACCCTAAGACAGAGAGAATACGACTATCACCAACTTGGCAGATTTGAGTTTTGTCTATGAGTGAATGGGAGCCGCATAC